TTTTATAGTGTGAAATGCCTAAAAAATAGTAGTAATAAAATTAAGCAATCAATTCGAATTTTATATTGGTGCGAAATTTGGAATTTCCATTAACGGATTGGACTGTACTGACTGAACTAACAGGCAGCAGCCACTGAAGGACAAGAAGCAAAAGTGCTCACTGATTATGTTCTTAAGGTAATCCCTGCATCCAATATAAGTCTTGAAATCTTGGAACAAGTTATCAAAGAAACAAAAAAGAAAACTGGAATCTTGATCAGGGCATATCGTGCAGATTCTGGGATTGGAAGTATGTGCAGACACAATGGTGGGCGACCAAATGATACGGGGTATCTCCGGCGGGCAGAAAAAGCGGGTCACCACCGGAGAAATGATTGTCGGGCCGGCGAAAGCCCTATTCATGGACGAAATCTCGACGGGTCTCGACAGTTCCACGACCTATTCCATCGTCAACTCGCTCAGGCAATTCGTCCACATCCTCAAGGGTACGGCCGTCATTTCTCTGCTCCAACCGGCGCCGGAAACCTATAATCTCTTCGACGACATCATTCTGTTGTCTGACGGGTATGTCGTTTACAATGGGCCTCGTGAGGACATCCTGGATTTCTTCGAATCAATGGGCTTCAGATGCCCCGAGAGAAAAGGGGTCGCCGATTTCTTGCAAGAAGTATGCATTTCATCACCCCCCTTCGGAATTGTACTGGAAATTGGGTTTTTCTTCTTCCTATTTGTACTGAAAATTGAAACTTTTTTGGCAGGTGACGTCAAAGAAAGATCAACAGCAGTATTGGGTCCGCAGGGGTGAGACTTATAGGTTCGTGAAGGCCAAGGAATTTGCAGAGGCATACCAATCCTTCCATGTTGGGAAGACAATGGCAGATGAGCTTTCGGTCCCCTTTGATAAAACCAAAAGCCACCCTGCCGCCTTAACAAATGAAAATTATGGTATAGGAAAGAGGCAACTCTTGAAGGTTTGCACCGATAGAGAGTATTTGCTCATGCACAGAAACTCATTTGCTTACATCTTCAAATTCTTTCAGGTGAGTTTTTTTATTTTTTTTTATGAAAAGAATATGTTTATTTCACTCTGTGATCCAATATAACTGAGCTGTTTTTGTTTGGTTATATGCAATGAGTCCAGCTTTCGGTGGTGGCGTTTGTTACCATGACACTATTTTTTCGAACCGAAATGAAGAAAGACAATGAGACTGACGGTGGGATTTTCTTGGGCGCATTGTTTTTTGGTGTGGTTATGGTTATGTTCAATGGTATGTCTGAGCTTCCAATGACCATTTATAAGTTGCCGGTGTTCTACAAGCAAAGGGACCTCCGATTCTTCCCTCCCTGGGCTTATGCTCTTCCTTCGTGGATCCTAAAAGTGCCTGTTACATTTGTTGAAGTCGGTCTTTGGGTGTTTGTTACTTACTATGTCATTGGTTTTGATCCAAATGTTGGCAGGTGGATATCACAATTTTGTCTACTGCTTGATTATTGATCAATAAGTGACTTTTGTTTCCTACCCCCTCTTTACTTTGTATTTTCTGTTTCAGGCTGTTCAAACAGTTCCTAGCAATGGTATTGGTGAACCAGATGGCTTCTGCATTGTTCCGAATGATTGCAGCTATGGGTAGGACAATGGGAGTTGCAAACACATTTGGATCTTTTGCTTTGCTTTTGCTGTTTGCTTTGGGTGGTTTTGTGCTCTCTCGAGGTTTGTGTGTTAGCAAGGGTCATATATTACTATATTATGCAAGCCTTTTATGAACTGTCTGATTTATTATACTCCGTAGTACGCAAGCCTTGTTTGAATTGTCTGATATGAAAACAGCGCATTGCATCCTGATTCTGCAGATGATGTGAAGGATTGGTGGATTTGGGGCTACTGGTGTTCACCCATGATGTATGGCATGAATGCAATTCTTGTCAATGAATTTAAAGGGAAGAGCTGGAGACATGTAAGCACATATATCTCAGTGTGGCTTGCAACTTTCCAGACGCACACACTCACATTCGAATCACACTGATTTTTTTGTTATTTGAATAGATTGCTCCAAATGGTACTGAACCACTTGGAGATGCAGTTGTGAGATCAAGAGGATTCTTCCCAGAAGCTAAATGGTATTGGATAGGTCTCGGGGCCCTTTTCGGTTTTGTAATTCTATTCAACGTCTGCTATGCTCTAGCTCTCCAATTTCTTAACCGTAAGTATATTTTCAATTTTACTCCCCATTCTGAACTGATGTTTATGTATAGTACACACAAACGTACAGTATAATATTCAATATACACAGAGTACATACTACTCCGCGTATTTTACAAAAACATATGACATCTGGCTTATGAATATGAAAATGCAGCATTTGGAAAGCCCCAAACTCTCATACCTGCTGATGACAACGATGGCGAGACTTCTTCTATCCAAAACACCTCTCAACAACAATCCCATGTTGCTGGTACTAGTGAGACACAGAAGCGGGGAATGGTTCTTCCATTTGAACCCCATTCCCTGACATTCGACAATGTTATGTACTCTGTGGACATGCCACAGGAAATGAAAGAGCAGGGTGCCACTGAGGATAGGTTGGTTCTTTTAAAAGGCGTAAGTGGGGCCTTCAGGCCGGGTGTTCTCACTGCGTTGATGGGTGTGAGTGGGGCGGGGAAAACCACCCTTATGGATGTCTTGGCAGGAAGAAAAACTGGTGGATACGTTGATGGAGATATCAAAATTTCAGGATATCCAAAGAAACAGGAAACTTTTGCCCGTGTTTCGGGTTACTGTGAACAGAATGACATCCATTCTCCATTTGTCACTGTTCACGAGTCCTTGGTTTACTCAGCATGGCTACGTTTGCCAGAGGATGTGGATGGCAATGCTAGAAAGGTTATTTTTTTTAAATTAAAAAACCATGCCATACATAATAATAGAATGTGATAACTCTCATTGCCAAATATTTAGGTTATGGTAAATTTATTTGCAGATGTTTGTTGACGAAGTGATGGAACTAGTTGAGCTGAACCCATTGAGATGCGCACTTGTTGGGTTGCCCGGAGTTAATGGTCTCTCAACCGAGCAACGCAAAAGGCTAACAATTGCAGTTGAGTTAGTGGCCAACCCATCAATCATATTCATGGATGAGCCAACATCAGGGCTAGATGCCAGAGCTGCTGCAATTGTGATGAGGACTGTGAGGAACACTGTTGACACTGGGAGGACCGTTGTTTGCACCATTCATCAACCCAGCATTGACATTTTTGAAGCTTTTGATGAGGTGAATCAAATTCTCTTGAGTGGCATGCATATATATTCATGTTTATTTGAAATTCAGACAATACAATAACGAAGAATACATTTTTTGCAGCTCTTTCTAATGAAGAGAGGAGGACAAGAGATTTATGTCGGGCCATTGGGGCGTAATTCAACCCATTTGATACACTACTTCGAGGTGCGTTTTGAAAGTTCAAAAGATTCTACTTCTCGTATATTACCACATTATTAATCCAATTTTCTTGTGTGCAAATAGTCAATTCACGGAGTGCAGAAAATCAAGGACGGATATAATCCAGCAACATGGATGTTGGAAGTGACAGCTCCCTCTCAAGAATTGTTACTGGGAGTTGATTTCACTGATGTGTATAAGAACTCAGATCTCTACAGAAGGAACAAAGCTTTGATCAGTGAATTAAGCACTCCACGCCCCGGTTCCAACGAGTTGTACTTCCCAGCTCAATACTCACAGAGTTTCTGGAGCCAGTGCATGGCCTGCCTCTGGAAACAACACTGGTCTTATTGGCGTAACACATCGTACACCGCAGTTAGGTTCATCTTCACAACCATCATAGCATTGACTTTTGGATCAATGTTTTGGGACCTTGGTACCAAAACGTAAGTATGCCAAACACACCTTAAATGATTAAACTACTCAGTAGAGGCAACACTTGTGTTGTGGTTGTAAATTTCTTACTTTCTTATGTATTTCAGTGATAAAAGACAAGACCTATTTAATGCTATGGGATCCATGTACACCGCAGTTCTCTTCCTAGGCGTGCAAAACTCCTCTGCCGTACAGCCAGTGGTCGCGGTTGAACGTACCGTGTTCTACAGGGAGAAGGCAGCCGGAATGTATTCTGCCTTACCATACGCCTTCGGACAAGTGAGTTTTCTACTTTTTGACTAACCCGATGCATTCAAACGGGGATGGTAAAAATGGCAAAATGTTGTACGTAATATTCTTCTTGTTTGTGACAGATTGTTATTGAAATCCCATACATACTTTTACAAGCATCCGTGTACGGTGTGGTTGTTTATGCCATGATTGGATTTGAATGGACGGCAGCCAAATTTTTCTGGTACCTTTTCATAATGTTATTCTCCTTGTTATACTTCACACTCTACGGCATGATGTCTGTGGCTGTTACTCCCAACGAAGGCATTGCAGCCATTGTCTCTTCCTTCTTCTACGGTTTATGGAATCTGTTTTCTGGTTTCATCATTCCGCGACCCGTAAGTATTTCTACACACTTAACGCTGTCACTCTACCGTCATCACCATCCATTTGAATTATAGGAACATTATTATTTATTCATGTTTTTTCATGTAACAGCGCATGCCTGTGTGGTGGAGGTGGTACTTCTGGGCATGCCCGGTGTCATGGACATTGTACGGATTGGTGGCATCGCAGTTCGGAGATATTGAGGATAAAATGAGCGATTCTGACCAGACTGTGAAGCAGTTCTTGGACGATTACTTCGGGTTCAAACATGATTTCCTTGGAGTGGTTGCGGCTGTGACTGTTGCATTCCCTGTTGTTTTCAGCTTCACTTTCGCCTACGCCATTAAGGCTTTCAACTTCCAGAGCAGATAGATATACATAGGTATGAACAGTCAGTTGCATGTTGTACCAAAATAATAATACCAGAAAAGAACAGTAGTGTGTAGGAGTTAACATATTTTACAACTTTCTTTCTACTTTTCTTCTTCTTCAATCTTTTCTGTTCATGTAAGAAACTGAAGGTTCAATAATACAGTATCAACAAGCCAGTTGATCTCTTTGAGGGGAGATTTCTTCGAAAATGGGAAGTCTCCTACTACTACTAGTGTTAGACCTCAATAGGTTCATCATCTTATCCACACCCTCAACAAAAGCATCTTCGACAAAACTAAGCGCGAAAGTGGGCGAAGGGTTTCTCACAGCGGCCTCAAAACACTGCTCGGTCTCCAGCAAAAGCTCTTTGGCGCGAGCCACGGTCTTGGGGTCCGAGGAACCGTAGGGGTCCCCACGAAGAACGCCTTGGAGAATCGCTCGTGCTTCACTGCATTTCCCTTGTCTCACAAGGCAGAGGCACAGGTTGCAGGCTTTGTTGGAGTCCGCTTCGATCTCCTGCGCCTTGCGGTACACAACCTCAGCTGCTCCATAGTTCTTCTTCTGCATGTATGCCCACCCCAGGTTCCCCTGCGTTGGAATAGAAAACAAACATAATATTACTCAAAAAGATTAAAAAAAAAACCAAGATGAGATTATAACCAGGATCCTGGTGGTCTCCTGCTTGACTGTGACTTGGAATTTCTTCCCGTGGGAGCAAGCGGTCTTGGTGGGTTTTCCATTGAACGCTTCTCCCTGGCAAATCATCTGCAACTTCCGCTTCAGCAGATGAATCTGATCATCTAATCTCCCGCACGTCTGTAACACGACGCCAACCGATTCAAATGAACTTATAATACATAATCAAATGTCAAAAGAACAGGCGGGAGGGGTAATAATAATAATAATAATATCTGGGGACCTTGTACAAATCGATAAGAACATTGTCGAGAGATTCCTGGGCGTGGGGAGAACATCGGCCCCGGAAGGAGTTGATGGCTTCAATGGCTTCTTCACCCCTTCCCGCCTGTTTCATAACCACTGCCATGTCTTTCAGAGCACTGTCCACTGTCTCCTTGGTTTATCGCCTTCCAGAACAGGGCTATGGCGGCGCCTCCATCTCTCTCGACTACCTGCACCCCATGCATGCATATATAAACATATATACGAGAAACCAACTCAACTAAAAGCTCAAACTCACCTGAGCGTGTTTTGCCCGGACGTAGGGGGTGTCCCCGTGAGGGAGCTTTGGGCTTCCATGGCTATTCTTCTTGTCTTCCTCTTTCATCATCTTCATCTTCATCTTCTCGCATATACGCAAATGCAATGGTGTGGCTGAACTGTGAGGATGAGAAAGAATGGAATATTAAGAGCGATTTATATGAGAGAAGTTGGAGTATGGGTCATTGAAGAAGAAGGTGGACGGAAATGTGTCCAGGTTCTTTCGTCTCCTTGGGTTCTCTATGTGGGGGACACACTTGTTCATCAACGTCTCATATAGTCATATCCATTAGTTTAGTCATTCCTTCACGATCAATAGTTAAATAAAAATTATACTTTCTACGCAGCTCTAAATAATTGTTACTCCGGGGTACAATTTAATTTTTTTGGTTAAATTGTACATAATAGTATTCTTGACCACGAATTAAAAATAAAATATATTTAGTTATAATGTAAATTTAGTAAAGTTGGATTTATTTTAAAATATAATTTAAAATATCAAATTTTTATAATATTTAATTATTTAAACTATATTTAATTCGTGGGCAGGGAGTGCCACAGTTTCACCAAAAAGTCAAACTTTGGTAATCTTTTAGGAACGGAGGGAGTATTAAATATTAATTAGAGTTAAAAAATATTTTGAAAATATTTACTTCCTCCATCACAAATTAAATCGCCTATTCTCTTTTATAAGGTTTGACTGAAATTATTTTTATTTCATTTCATTTGAAAATTGGTAAGAAGAATAAAAATATGATTTATTCGTACATATTTAAAAACTATATCCAAAATTCTACAAACTCGATGTGACATAACTACAGATATAGTTTTATCAAATTCATAGCAAAATTGAGTGGAAAACGTGATTAAAAGTTGACCATGTGAATAGTCAACATGCAACTTAAATGAGCACAAAATTGGTATTAAGATAAATCTAATATAATTATTTTTTAAATCAAATCTAATATCAAGCTTATTTAATTGATGGTCAAAATTTAAAATATAGTTTGTAGTTTTTTAATGTTCTAATTAATATACGGTATATGTTATAGAGATCTCTTATAACTATTAGATATCATATCTTTTGTGAAATACTCTTTAAAGTTTTAGCTTAATAATGATGAGCATTTATTAATACTTATATAAATCTTTGTTTTTGAAAGGGGATAAATGAGAAAAATAGTGAGTACTTTTAAACATTTATATAAATATTGACTATAAAGAATAATAATAGAAAACTTGTAATACCTTTTTAAAGAATAGTAATAGAATAAAAATTTATATAATATGGAGTATAAAGAATAAAAATAGTGTTTTTAAAGAATAATGACAGAAAACTTGTAATGCTTTTTTTAAGTACTCCGTAATTGTTCCTCAAAAAAAATAACAAAAACACTCCGTCATAAAATAGTCATGTAAATTAATAGAAATTAAAATGTTTTACTGCATATTAGTATAATACTTAGAAAATAGAAAACTACAAAATTGATGTTCATTGCATTTAAAAATAATGGAAGTTATTTTATTTAATGAGAAATTGAAATAACAGGTGCCAAAATTCTAAAATAAATACTAAAACTAATTTAACATAAATGAAAAGTAAAAATTGAAACAAATGGTAGACAATTTTTAAAAATTTATATATAATGTTATTTTCAAAACTAATAAAAGCATGAAATTATTTTAAATGTAAAGTTTGGCACCAAAATTTGACATCATGTATTTCAATCCAGATACCTAATAAAAACTTATGTGATGTAGCTTTGACCTGAGTCGACACCCAGAAATACTATTTTTTAATTTGAACAAAAATTTTACCAAGCAAACCCAAAGATGACCAAACACAAATGAGCCACTAAAAATTGTTGTTGGATCTTTGAGGATAAAAATGTGTAATTTCTAATTTAGATGTAATGGCTATGTTTTGTTTGTACTCGGGGGCTTAAAAAATCATCGAAAATAAGAATAGAACATAACCTCATTTCTCAAAATAAGAGTGATTTTTTTTACTAAACTAGCATTATTGCATTATGACAACGTGATACTATAGACTAGTATTCCACAGTGCTTTTTGGTATTATAAATTTGCATTATAGACCCTATTTTGAGAAAAAGAATACGAAGTCCTATTTTGATTTTTCTTATGTTTTACTTTTATTTTAGTCATTCTCCATTTTCACCAAAAAAAATGAAAATACTAAAATGAAAGCACACATTTTTTTATGTCTTCTAGGTATTTATGTTATAAAATTAGTATATGCTCATTCACGAGTTCTGTACTCTTTTTGTCTCATAATAATGTTAACTTCCACTTTCGGATCAGAATATTTAATTGAAATTATTTTTAATTCAGTTTTTATAAAGTTTGGTGTTGAATCACTAAATAAAACTTATATGTGTATGTATGTATGTATGTGTGTGTGTGTGTGTGTGTATATATATATATATAGACACACACACTTCAAAAATTGTACAACAAAAATAGTGACGAGAATATTTTATTTTATCAAATGATCGAAACAATAGGTAAAACCTTCTATATGTTAGAGATGGTTTTCAGAATATGAAATCTAACTCAAATTTTACTCTGAGAGATGGCTACAGATAGATGGCTTATAGGAGATTGTCCCAAATGTAATGAACTGGTCTGGAATGGTTGGACACTCCCAAAACATAGATTCATCTCCTGGTTGCTATGTAGAGGGAGGTTACAAACCGAACAAAGACTGAGTAAATTCCTTCAGATTGATGTGAATGTTCTGAAAACCGGACCGACATCGACTCGAACGAGGTAGTGCGTCAAGGATTAACCGGTTGAACTGGTCAGACCTGGGTCAACGACCCAGTCAACGATACTAAAAAATAAAAATTTACATTATATTACTGGATACTTTTAATTAATAAAAATATTTTAATTCCTATATAATATTTTAGACTTATATTGCATTGATTGAAAAGATAAAAAAAATGAGAGAACGAAATAAATTGTAGCATATAATATTACTCCACGAATAATTAGTAAATATTACTCCGTACTAAACTGTTGAAGATGAATATAATCTTTTAGGTATACAATATTTATATTTATTTTTTCTTTTGAAAAAGTAATATTTTTTTCTTTAAACTAATTTAGAAGTTCATAAAATAAATAGGGAGTACATTATAAAGAGATGTTTCTCTAAGTTTTTCCAAATACAAATAGCCAATATATTGTGTTTTAAGACATTTTAAACAAAGGCAAAATTCACAAGAACACTCCCAGAAATTAGAGATTTTACACAAATACTCCCAAATTTGTTTATTTACACCATTACTCCCACATTTCTCTTTTATTTACGTCGTTACTCCGCGATTGCTTCATCATCAGTGTTTCTCGGGTGCCTCTTTTTATACGAGGTTTTTCATCTTTTTTTTATTGAATTCAAATTAAATTAATATGAACAGCCTTGATATTAATCATTAAAAAGATTTAAGAAGTTTGAAATCTCAATTTTTTAAAAAGTGATGGGAAATAAGGACAATAATTAGACTTACTAAGACGTGAGAAAGACGGTGGAGAGAATAAGTTGAAGTGAATTTAGTATATTAGAGTGGAAAAAATACGTGTCTGCATTTTAACTGTTCACTTAACGCAAAAATGACACATCCAAGTAACACTAATGATCACTACCAAATTTGGGAGTAACAGTGTAAATAAAAGAGAAATGTGAGAGTAATGATGTAAATAAACAAATTTGGGAGTATTTATGTAAAATCTGTAATTTCTGGGAGTATTCTTGTCAATTTTGCCTTAAACAAATGTTGTAAGAGCTCAAGCCATTAGAATCTAAGTAGAGTCTTTAAAAGTGGATAATTTTCACCAATGGTACCTGAACTTTAGCTGGAATTTCGAAGTGGTACCTAAACTTCAAATCTTTTCAGAAAAATCCCTGAACTTACATAATCCTTTCACTAAAAGTCCATTTGCCCGTTTCTAGGTTAACTTCCGGTCGTTTGGGCCAAATTAGAATTTTATATATTTTAAAATTTTCAATTTGGCCCCATTTCTTTTTTTTTTCTTTTCTTCTACCTCCCACACCCTTCTTTTTCTTCTTCTTTCACCCTTTCTTTACTTTTCTTCTTCTATACAATTCACAAAAGTACTCCGGCGAGGAATTTAATATACTCCGGCGATATCCTGAAGGAGATGGCGGTTTCCCGGCGAGTTTTCTCGGGCGGCGGCGGGGGGGACTGGAGTGTGTACTTCTACGTGTCCCCGTACGAGCGGACGCGGTCGACTCTGC